TGCCCCCGGGCCCCGCGGGGGTCCCCGAGGGCCGGCACCGGCACACGCAGCCCGGGGGGACGGGGGTGCTCGGGGCGACAAGGAATTCGCGGGGGCACAGGGGGAGCCGGGGGGCACACGGTCCCGGGGTGCCCGGAGGGATGCTGGGCACCCCAGGGGGACAAGCTTGGGTGGGCAACCTGGGGGGATGCTGGGCACCCCAGGCAGACAAACTCGGGTGGGCACGGTGCCCCACAGGGATGTGGGTGAGAGCTGGGGCCCCCGAGCAGGACACGGGGTGCAAGGCTGGCACGATGCCCTGGGTGCCCGCTGCAGCCCAGTGCTGCCCGTGGAGGGTCCCCGTGGCTGGGAGGTGGCTGCCAGCATCCCAGGGTGTGTGCGGGGTCTGGGCACGTTGACACCCGTTGGCCCCTCAGCCGCCACCCCCAGTCCCACGGCCACTGGCAGCAGGGGCTGTCGACAGCCTGACACACGAAATCACCGATTCCCCGAAGCTGCCTGCTGGCACCGCACTTGCGACTCATGTCCAGGGCAGCGGGGCGGACTTCTGGCTCAGCATGGGGGTTTCCAGCTGGGGGGCAAGAGCGGGGCCACAGCTTTGGGAGGGGAGCCACAGGGGGCATTTTGGTTGTGCCCGTTCTTTGCCTCAAGTCCCTTTATCCCACCCCATCAAGGGCTGCCGGCGGTGGCAGGAGGTGCCAGCGCTGCCAGAACTTGCTGCTGTTCCCACGGATGAAGGAAGATGCTTTTCATGCTGGTGTTATCACACGGATTTGCCCTCCAAGTGCCCTGTTGCCCTCAAGCGGTCGGGCTGTGGGTCCTAGACTTTTCCTCCAGCTGAACAGGGCGCTGTCTCACGCTGCCGGAGGGACTTTGGTCCCAGGAGGGGCTGAACACGCTGAAAACGGGCTCCCCTGCCCTCGTCACCTGGCCAGCCTCAGCCCTCCCAGGCTCCCACCCTGTGTTGTGCAAGGCCCGGCGGTTACGCTGGCCCCGCGCCTTACCCAACAGCTCCTTCCTCCGGCTGCGCGTCTCCCGCTCGGTTTCGACATTAGCTGGCCTTGGCCAGCTCGTGCTGGGGTTTTTGCTGCTCCCACCCTCCAGCTGGCACTGCCTCTTGCCAGCACAGCCCCAGCTGCCTTGCACCGCTCCCCGGCAGCTTTCCCAGCCCCCAGCAGGTCGCTAGGGCTGGACTGCACCATACCCCAACTTGGACCAAACTTCCCCCCCATCTTGGCCATTTGCCCTCCCCCCTCCCCCTCCCCCCCCCGCAACGGGACACCCATGAACCTGACAAGACTTGACTTAGGGTCCAGATAATGTTTATGAGCAAAGACAAGCGATTACACTCTGGCAGGAGCATAAATACAGGAGCAGAGTTCCTGCGCTAGCCCTGCCAGGTCCTTCCCAGCTCCTTCGGTGTCTTGGTGCCACCCCGGTGGCTCTGCCCCTCCTTGAACACCCGTCCCAGCGCTCAGCACGCAGCCCCAAAACATGGGGTCAGGCCGTGCCCAGCGTGTCGCGTTGTTCACAGGCACTCGGCCCCACACCAGTGCCTGGGGGCAGCTGGGGAGGAGGGGGCCCTTGCGCAGCAAGCTCAGCGTAGCTGGCTCGAGGGGCTGGGTTTGGGAGGCAGGTGCCCCCACACCAAGGGTAAGACCCTCCTTGGGCTGGGGGGGCACCAGGGCCCCGTGCCAGTGGGATCTCCAGCCCCTTTAGGGTCCACTGCCCAGGAGCCAGCACCACGAGACCACAAGCACCCCGATGGGCACCCCAGTACCCCAAGTCTCTCTGGGGCTGCTCTGTGTCCCTGTGGGGGGGTAAGCAGGACCCCGCTGTCCCAGCTGGGGCAGGCTGACCCACCACCCTGCCTGCCAGCATCCCTAGGGACGTCCTTCTCACAGCCATGGTTGGAAGGGTCTGGGCACGCACAGATGCCAAGGGGGCAAACCTGCCGGGGCAGAGCTCTGGGACTGCCAGAGGCTGCCTGGCACTTGGGGGACCTGGCTCCCCCAGGGCAGGGAGAGGAGCAGTGCATGCCCTGGGCCAGCCCTGTCCCCCACCTGGGTGGTGTCACCTGCCCTCTGCGGGCACAGCAGCACAGAGGTCCCCTGAGTGCTGCCACGTCTCTCCTGGGTTCCCCCACCCTTGGCACAGCCACAGCATGGCAGTGAAAGGAGGGTACCAGGCACAGGCAGCAGAACCCAGGGGCTCAGATCCCGTCCAGCAACCCAGGGTACCAGTAACCCTGCTCTAGGACCCCCACAACGAGGGTTGGAGCTGGGGGCCGCAGAGGAAGGGCAGCCCCTCCAGCTGGGGGGCATTGCCTGCAGATGAGAGAAAGTCCTGCTCACCCCTTCCCCAGGCAGCTGTGCACCCCATCTCTAACACCCAGGTTGGACAGTCCCATGGGTGGGTTTCCCCATGCTCCGGGGTCCCACCATGCCCTCTCCCCTGGACTCATGGCCTGGGCTTCCCCAGGGGACGGGCTCCCTGGCAGAGCGGGGGCTCCCCCGCCTGGCACCATGCCCTGGGCAATCCCCGTCAGTACGTCTGGGGCGTGAGGATGAAGAGTCGGTCTTCCTCCTTGCGGATCCACTTCATGAGCTTGTTGACAGCACTGATGGCGCCAGCTTTGGTCCCCAGGGGACTGTAGCATATGTAGAGCTCGAAGGCGCTGGTTACCTGAGTAAAAAAACAGGGTACAGGCTGGGCATATATCTGTGCCCCACTTGGAGCTCGCACTGCATCTTCCCCCCATGGGCAGGGACATGGGGTGGCTGTGGAGTACCCTAAATGCGTGGCACCTGGTTTGCTCAGAAGTGGGGGGACCAAACCCCAGGGTTTGCTCCCAGAGCGTGTTTTCTCTGCAGCCCTGGGGAGTTCACGACAGCGCATGGCACAGCCCTGGGTGCCAGCACCCACCAGCCTCTGCTGCTATCCCTGCCCATCCCTCCCTGGCACAGGGGTGCACAGGGCAGGCTGACTCCCAAAAGGACCATGCGCAGGCTGGGGGCCACCCTGGGGACCATGGAGCGGGTGCTGTGTTGTGCTACCCCCTGCCCCCAGCTCTGCCATACAGGACTGGAAAAGACAGGCTCACCTAAACCCTGCAGACGGCCCTTACCCAAGCCAGGAGGTTCTCACGGGGGCCCGTGAAGTAGATGTTCTTCAGGGGGCGCGAAGAGTTGTGAGCCCGGCTGTGGAGGTACTGGTAGAGCCCCAAGAGCCTCTCCTTCTCCTCCTCCCGCACGTAGGGTGCCTCAATCTCAGGGCTGCAGGAACACAGCACCCCATTAGCCCCCCGGAGAAGGGGATCTGTGGAAAAGGCTTGCCCCATGCCATGGCCTTGGCCCGATTGTTCCCCAGGGGCCTCACCTGGTAAAGAGCCCAGAGCTTTTCGACTTGTAGATGAAGTGCCGGAGGTCAGGGATGCCCACCTGGGCAACACTGTAGAAGGGGGTGCGCAGGGCCTCCTGCAGAGCATGGTGCACCCCCCGCCGCCGTAGGCGCTCCTGGAAGCGCCGCTTACAGTCAGAGACAGTGAAGAAGTCCTCGCGGTCAGTGGAGACCAGCAGGAGGCACAGGTCCATCTCCTGCTCCAGGTAAGAGATGTGGGCATGGAAGAAGCCACTGGAGTTGAACTTGGGGAGGCAAATGGGAGTCCAGGCTTCACCCTCCCGGAAGGAGGAAGAAGAGCTGATGAGGTTGAAGAGCAGATGGAGGTCAATGGGGTGGAGGAACTGATCCTTCTTCCTCACGAGAGACACTAGCTGGTTCCCTGACAGGAGGATGGAGAAGACCAGGCTCTTGGCCTTGGCCTGCTGGAGGCTGGTGCTGACAGCGTCCCGGACACTGGCGGCCAGGGGCAGGCAGCGCACGGCACCCATGAGGAAGCTGGGGTCGTGGGCCATGAGGTCCAGCAGGTTGTCAGTGATGCGCTCGGAGCCGGCCAGGAGCCTGCGCAGGTCATAGTTCTGTTTCTGCTGGAAGATGTGGTTGAGCTGGGTCCAGGTGAGCAGGCTCAGGATCTGGTAGTAGATGTAGAGCAGCTCATGGGCGATCTCTTGCTCTGACTGTCGAGTCCGCGCCACTGCCACCAGCACCAGCGGGCTCCTCCGCACAAAGACCACCTTGTAGCCATCTGCTTGGGAGGGAGTTCCCCGCGGGGGCGGGGACAGACCTGTAAGCCTGGTTCCCTGGGGCTGCAAGAGGGAGCCAGGCTGCAGCCTCTCCCCCCAGTAACCAAACTGCCCCTGGGAACAGCTAATGTGGCCCACAGCAGGGGCACGGCCGGGCAGGCCATGACACCCCCCTGTCCCACTCCCCCCCCAGGGCAGTACCTGCGTGGATGGACCGGATGGCGTTTTTCTCAGCCTCCAGGAAGGACACCAGGGCCATCATGACGCCCATGGTGCTGGAGAGGGCCTCCTCAGAGCCATAGCGGGAGTACACGGGCTTGCCTGCCTCGCTCAGCACAAAGACGTGCTTCCGGTGCATGCGCCAGGCATCCATGGTCACATCCTCCTCCTCCTTGCCAGACAGCACTGAGTCGCGGCGGGTGGTCTGTGGGGACGGCTCCAGCTTCCCCTCCTTGCTCTGCCTCATCTCCTCCTCCAGGTCGAGAGCCATGCCTGTGAGCTGTGTGCTCAGCTCGCTGAAGTCCTTGCTGATCTGCTCCATGCTGGTCGGCTCGGCCGGCTCCCCTCGCCTCTCCTCCGGGCTCCGCACGGCGGCCGCCCCGTCCTCGGGACTTGTCAAGTCCTCATAGGAGCGGGTGTGCACGAACATGGCTCCCTCCTGGCCCGCCCCTGGGAACAACGGGTTGTGCGGTGTCCATCCATCTGTCCCCCATGCTGAGGCAACGGGCGGACAGAGGGCAGAAAAGGCACAGGGAGTTGCAGGGAGGGACCTGCCTTCCTCTCCCCATCCCGCGGCACCCAGGGGTGTGGGTCCTGCTGGTGAGGAGTTGCCAGTGGGCCTGTCTCCCCCTGCCCACACGGCTGTGGAGGGCCCAGCCTGCATAATGAGGAGCTGCTTTTTTTCTCCCCTCGCTTACCCCCACAGTGAGCTCTGCCCTGTTACCTGGCTCTGTCCCCTGCGCCAGCCCCGGCGTGGGGCTGTCGGACCGCTCCGTGTGCTGCCCATCTCCTGGCGCCAGGGATCCGTTGGGCACTTCCCAGCCTTTCTTCTTGTGGACATCTGCAGCCATTCCTCAGGGCAGGACCTGCATGCGACCCATGTCATCAGCCCTCTGTTCCCTCACCTGCAAAACGGGTCCCAAAACTCTCCACTCTCGAGAGTTGGCCCAATCCTGCTGGCTCAGCATGCAGCACCGAGCCCTGGTGAGACGTCAGGAAAGCCGCTCTAATCCAGCAGGATTTCCTCCCTCCCGCGGCCCCAGCTCCTTCCAGCTCCTCGGCCCCGGCACCCTTCATCCAGGCTTGGCCCCGATTTCCCCCGAGCACTGGGAAAGCCGCTCAGCCTCCCTCTGCCGTGTCCTGGCAGCGAGAGGGAAGGGAGCTGGCTCCGGGTGGGGCTGGGGCTGGTCCCACTCCCCGAGGATCCCAGAGGCCTTGTGTTTGCAAAGGGCGCGTTTTACGGCCCTCCTTGGCCGGGATTAGGTGGCTAAGATGCGACCAGGCTGGTGGAGCTCCTCCTGAGGCCAGGGCCGCTCAGTCGGCATGAGTGAACACAGGCACACAAGTGAAAGCAACAGCGGGAAGGCAGGCTGGCCTCCCAAACCAGCGGGCAGGGAGGCCCGTGGAGCTCCGGCTTCGCACCGCGCTTCGTGACACCTCCTGCCCCCAGGCCAGCGGGTAATGCCACGCCGGGGGGAGCCGGACCCCGACCCCAAAAGCCTGTGACGCCCCAAAGCCCCGGACGGTGTCGAGCTGCGGATCAGGGCCCCGTCCTCGCCTGGCCCTTCCCCTCCCGGCTGCACCGCTGCCAGCCTGCTGCCCTTCCCCGCCGCCCCCGCGGCCGAGGCGCGGCCCGCCTGCTCCCCTCCCCCGCCGCCCCCGCGGCCGAGGGGCTCCCCAGGACCCCCCTCCCGGGGGGTCACCGCTCCCGGGGCACCGACGTGCCCCGGGGAAGCGCCAGGCCCGGGACCCCCCCGCAGCCCCGAAGGACGCCGCGCAGGGACCGACCTTCGCGGCTTCTCCCCGCCGGGC